CCAGCCATTGAGGATTTGGGCAGAAATTTCAGAGCCAACATATGAAAGACTGAGCAGTTAGGAGCCAGTTAGGAACACTTTCAGCTGCACATTTCAGCATATTCCCACTAACAGTGGTTTAAACAGTAAAGGCTTTTAATTATCTCGGAGGAGAAAATGTCCCGAGGTAGATATTTTCAGGGTCAATCATATTGTTCAGTATTCAATTACCTTCAACCTTTCTACTCAGCCATCTGTGTGTTGGCTTTTTGTTATTAGCCTTCTCACCTCATGGTTGCAAGATAGTTGCCACAGCCCCAAGCATCACATCCTCCGTAAAGTTGAGGACAGGAAGAGAGAGTTGAGCTGGGGTGGCTGTGTGTCTCTTTCTTCCTTGAACACTTTTCTGGGAAGAAAAGTCTCCCACCTGCCATGTCGCAGAGGGATTCCCCTCACATCTAGTGGCCAGAGATAGTCCTATGTCTGCTCCACGCTGCAAGGGAGGCTGGGAGAGTGAGTCAGAGTGAAGGGCAGTGGGATGGTGTGGCTGGGTTAGCCCAATCATAATCCCTCTCCTGGGGCTGAGGCTGTAACCTCTCACCTCCAAACAAAATCGAGGTTCTCAGTCTCCATAGCACGGACCTCAGCTTCTTGCAGAAATGTCACTAGCACAGTGATCAAGGGAGTAAAGCAGGAAAGGCCGTAAGCACCGAGCACAGGCGACAAGTAGGCAGAGGAGCTGGAGTATCGCTGGGCCCCTCCTCTGGGGTCCTGACCGTGGTTCTGCCGAGAGCCGGCCATGTGGCCTTGGAGACTTCCCTCCCCTTTCTGGGTCTCCGTTTTCTCACAGTTTAGGGGAATCTTTCCATCTGGAAAGTTGCTTCAGCACATCCTTCATCTGGGCATGGAAGGAAGCAGGACCATGAGTCCTTTGCTGCACTTGAGAAGTGACCTGGGTTATTTTGAGGTCATACCTACATGGCTGCAGGCCATGGGCTTCAGGGGTGTAGGAAACTCAGCTGAGGAGATGTGGAAAAGCTCCCGGTCTCCGCGAGAGGAAACCCTCGGCGTGAGTAAATGGCAACAGACAATGCTCAAGGGAGAAAGCCGGCCTTGAGCCCCTGTAGGGCACCGGGTACTTTATGTCATTTTCCTATTTTATTTCCTCATTCTCTGTGTGACCTTGAAGAAGCCACTTAACTGCTCTACCTTAGTGTCTGCATCTGTGAAATACGATGTGGTGAAGACTGCTAGTTGTCCTGAAGAAGCCTTCCCGACCCCCCTAGTAATGGGCTTGTAGCTGAGCGTGGGGCTGGCTGTAGACTGTTTCCCAGCCTCCCTTGCCGTTAGACGTGACCATGTGACCAGCCTCTGACCAGTGGAATCCTTAGCTCTGTGGCCTTGGGCTATGCGGCCAACTTTCAGGTTATATTTTAAGGAGAAGGCATATGCCTTTCCCTGTTGCCTTTTCTCATTGACTGAAATGTGGATATGAGGGGGCGGCATCTTGTACTATGAGAGAGAGAGAGTGACACCCTAAGGAGAGGAGAACAAGTTAGCAGCCTGGGCACGACAATATGGCTGCCATATTGGTCTCAACCTGGTATGTTTGTTGTAAGACGCAAATCACTTAACACAGGACTTGGAACAGCCAGTTCTTGTGCTTCTAATGCAGTGGTTCTCAACCAGGGGTGATTTTGTACTCTAGATTTTTTACCCTAGATTTTGTCACATCTGTGGGAGGGGTGCCACAGGCATCTAGTGGATAAAGGTCAGGGATGCTGCTAAACACCCTACTATGCACAAGCGCCCGCCAGAGAGAACTGTTCAGCCCCCAGATGGCAGCCGTGCTGTGGGTGGGGACCCCCGTGGAGATGATATCATCCACAGGGTTAGTGCCCAGAGGAGGTGGGAGGCCTCCGGGTTCCTGGTTGACTTCCTCTCCTGGAAGGGTGCTCTATGCCCACTGCATCTTCATACCACCCACCCTCCCTTGTCCACACAGGTCCATTCACGGAACCGTGCATCGGGGAAACTATAACCTCACCCCATCTACGCAGCTCACCCCGCTGTCTCCCACCTCTCCGGAGGCAGTGGAGGACGTGTTCAAACAGCTCTGCCTTCCTCCCCACCCGCCCTGATGCCAGTCAGGCCAGTTTCCGGGTGGTGGGTGGAGGGCAGGGTGCCATCCTAATGCTATCCAGTTTTCCCAGGCGGGGGAAGGAGAGCAAGGTTTTGCGCCTGGAATTCAGGGCAGGCTACAGGCCTAGCTAAGAGAGGGCTGAATGCTGATAAAATTGAGGATGGTTGAGAAAATGTCTTCCTAGAGAAAAATCCCAGTTTCTCCTCCCCAAATTCCCAGGATGTGGTGAGCACTGGCCTCCTGGGAGGTGGCAGGGCAGACTTCCAGAAACTTCCATGCTTGCCACACAAAAACCAAGAAATGGGAACAAAATCTAACCCCCTGAGGAACTCTGGAAATTCTCTGAAAATTTAAGCACAAGTGGTGCCCACATTGAGTTGAGAGGCGTTTCTCTCTCAGCTGTTCTATCAGTAAACAATCACTCATTTACTTACGTATAGACCTAATGCCACTGCTCACTCTCTCAATGGCTTCCAATTGCCAGGGCCTGCATCTCTTTGCTGAGGACTCTCTGACCACCAGAGTCCCATGAGCCCATGCATTGTAGGATAAACCATGTAGGACACCCCTGCAGTGTGACTGAGGGGATTGGCAATAGACTGAATCCAGCACCCCCTGGGTGGGGATACCTTGGAGGCATGCTCTGTGCTGACCCCTGTCTCCAATGGGATTGAGCCCTAGTTGGCCACTACAGTGACCTGCTCAAAAAGAAATCCTATTTGGCTGCTGTCCCTTCCTTGTCTTATGTCCCAACTTCCTTACTTCCCGGGATCACCTCCCAAAGAAACACCCTGAATGCCTGTCTTAGTGTCTGCATCCTGGGATACAGTCTGAGACCTTTGTGTACTACAAGTCAGACACGCGGATATTTGGGGATAAGAATGGTTGTGGCTGCCCCTCTGGAACTCACAACTGGAAAGCCAGACACCAACCACTCCAAAAGTCATGCCAAAGTAGAATGACAAGTGATGACGAAGGCTGGGCCATGAGAGGTGCAAGACCTTGTTAAGACCTTCTGACTACTGCAAATGCAGAGTCTTCATTGTGACCTCAAGTGCCACCATGTGACGACTCTGAGCTCACCTTTTCCCTCTGTGCACCAGCCTCAATGGCCTCCTTGCTGTTTCTCTGCACTGTGCATGTGCCTGCCTCAGGGAATTTGCACTCACTGTTCCCTCTCCCTGATTGCTTTTCCCCACTCTTCTCGAGTTTTGTTTACTTCATAGCACATACCAGTCTGACGTTGTCTTGTCTTAAGTTTACTTGTTTGTTGAATGATTACCAAGTGTGAGCTCCATGAGAGCAGGGCTGTGTCCCCAGGGCCTGAAACAAATCCTTGAACAGAGCAGGTACTCGTTGGGTGTTTTTTGGATAAGTGGTTGCATGTTTAAGTGATGGAGAAAAAAATGAATGAATGATGAAAAAGGGATGTTTGCCAGGAGGAGGAGGACCAAGCCTTGTCTAGAAAATCAGGGAAGGCTTCCTTGAGAAGGTGACCCTGGAGCTGAGATGTGGCATTAGCTGCCACATCTAAGGGAGCAAAAAGGGTGACCCAAGCAAGCAACACAGCATGTGCAAATGTCCAGAGGCAGACCCCAGAGGTCATACTAAAACTGTGCACGGGAACAAGCCACCTATAACTGAAGCTTTTCTTAAAACTTACAAAACTGCTATGTGTTGGGCTCAGGAGTACATGGGGAGCAAAGTGGCCATGATGCTATTCCCCTAGAGCTCCCAATCTGATTGGAAGGGCAGATGCCGACCAAGGGGCTGGGCAGACGTTTAATCCCCCTGCACCACCTCATGTTACATCACATTGCAGACACTTGTTTTCTGAAATCCTCCAGCTGGATGAGCATAGAAACACATGCCACACACATATACATGCACACACATGGCAAATGAAAAACCCTGAATTGTCCATCCAAAGCAGATGAAAAGGACAGCTCAGTTCTGTTTTTAATAATTTAATCACCCACCAGTGTGGTTGCCATGGCACAGGATTGCAAGTTCCTAAGTTCAAGGAAGACCTCCCGGCCTCCCTGTTCGAGGCCCATGGTTTGCTCCTTCCAAGCAGTTAGAGACTCCAGTTGGACATTCAAGCCCCTCACCCCACCATATAACAGTATTGATGCCAACCCACTGCCCCATCTCATTCAAATGTCCATCATCAGGAACTCCAGAAGGACCTTTCCTCCTGCCACACTGGTGCCTCCAGTAGAGTCCGCCAACTGATGTCATGGAGAGAGAAGGGTGCTCTCCTTTCCCGGGGAGCTCAGCAACTGGCAGTTGACCAGAGGAATCTGAGTTCAAGAACCCAATGTCCTTTGTGCCCCAGAGAAGCGAAACCACTTGTTTCCAGGCACACATGCAGGCCCTTCAACAGAGAGGGTTTAATATGGGGATTGATTACAAGGTGGAGGAGCTGAGTGGCCACAGGAGGGCAGGGCAATCCAGCTGCAGGAAGCTGCCACATGAGTAGTTAAGGTCATGTCCCTCGAGCAGGAGGGACAGAGGAGGAGGAGGGGTCCTTGAAGTGGAGGCTAGGACCAGGGTGGGTCTGGCAGGTGGGAGCTGCAGCCTCAGGGAGCATGTCTAATGCCTGGAGCACAGAGGAGGAGAAGGGATTGGCCTTCTCTCTTCTATTGGCCAGATCCAGGAGGGAGCCAGAGAGCAGGAAGCAGGAAATAGAGAGTAAGGGAAAGGCGGGATGTGTGTCTAACCAACAGACTCTCAGTGCTACAAACATTCTCCCCCAGGTCTCTAACTGTCATCACACCCTAGAGATCAAAAACGCAAAAGCCTTTAGGAGCCTGGGAATAGTGAAGGGGGAATAGTGATTCAGAAATTACTGAATAACAACCAACTCTTGTTTCAGGGTCAGGCAGACGTGGAGGAACCGTGGAGACTGGGGTAGAATGGTGAGCATATATCCTGTCTGAAGGGACACTGCTGCTCAGAAATCAGAAATTTCTGATTTCTGCCAATGAGGAATACAGGCCCAAGCTACCAGGTTAGTAATCCTTTTAGTTCCAGAAAAGGCAGTTCAGATTTTTATATGAAATCTCCCAGTTTCTAAAGGTTGACCATCAAGTTAATTTGTGTGTGTTATTTTTTTTTAAATAGAGTTAATTACTCAGAGGTTCCAGGGAACAGATGGAAACAAAATCTTATCCATATAAGATTTTGTTTACTATTTTTTCCCACATTTTATTTAAATTTTATTTTTTATATTCCCCATACAATTACAACCCCCTTATTTTGACCCCAAGTCCTCCTTTCCCCATCCCCCACCCCCCCATAGAGTGTCTCTGGTTCATAGTTGTTTGTTGATTTTGATATTTTCTTTCTTATAGTTATTCATTTTCCTGGTCCCTTATTTAAGTTTTCTAGATTCCTGCTATGAGTGAGACCATCCGGTATTTTTCTTTTTCTTTCTGGCTTATTTCGCTGAGCATGATCCCTTCCAGCGCCATCCATGTTGCTGCAAATTGCATGTGTTTATCTTTTTTGAATGCTGAGTAATATTCCATGGTATATATGTACCACATCTTCTTGATCCAGTCATCTATTTTGGGGCATTTGGGTTGTTTCCAAAGCTTAGCTATTATAAACAGTGCTGCTGTAAACATAGGGGTGCAGGTGCTCTTTGGAATTGATGCTTCTGTGTCCTTTGGGTAAATACCTAGGAATGGAATTGCTGGATCATGTGGACACTCTATGTTTAGTAGGTCAAGAAATCTCCACTGTGTGTGTTATTTTTTAATACTGTGAAGAACAATAGAAATACACATCCATAGTTGGGACCAGCAGTTTGTGACAGCTATATTTTATAGAGTCTAGGGAAGGATGGTGCCTATCCGTGACTTACTGGTGCAGATTTACAATAAATAAGTGTTTGTCGATTGACTGAGTGACTGTGGGCACACGCAATCTCCAAATCGCAACCATCAGTCTAACAATCCCGAGCTCTGCTCCAATGCAATTTTATTTTTCCCAGTCATCCATTTCTCTGGTGCTTTACATAACTACTCATGTTAGCAAGTTGTTGGGTTCATGAAGCACCTACTGTGTGCCAGTTCGGGGCACCATTTCTTATGTGAAGTTGAATTTACCAGGTCCCTGCCTCCAAGCTCCTCAGAGTCAGGTGAGAGCAATCTGGTGAACCAATGAGATGCAGAGGCTGTATCTGCTGCTTTCACCATATGTCCCCAAGACAGGGTCGGGCCCATGGTAAGTGCTCAGGAATTCTGTTTAACTGAATTAATGAAGGTAACAAGCGTCCTGTCAGCGCGCATTCTCAACAGGGACAAAATACTCTTGAACATTACAGTGGTCGTCACCCTCCAAAAGGTTGTAGTTCATCAACATCACACAATCTGTGTATTAAGATTTCAGGGGTGGATGGTAGCGGGTGGGAGTTGGCAATTAGAAAAAAAGTAAAAAGGGTTCTGGAGTCTGGAAAGTTTTCCAAACACTGTTTTAGAGAGAGCGTGGGCCTGTGGCAGCATTTCACAGGGGCCTGTAGCCCAGCCTAGGAGATCACAAAATACTTTCTGAAGGAGGCATTTCAGCTCATGCTCAAAGGCTATGGAAAACCCAGCTAGATCAGGGGTCGGCAGACTTTTCTGTAGAAGGCCAGATAGTGGGTATTTAGGCTTCTTAGATCCGTTGCAGCTGCTCAGCTCTGCTACTCTAGATCAAAACCAGCCATAGATAATCCGTAAGCAAATATGGACTATACTGGCCATGTTCCCATAAGCTTTATTTGTAATCAGGTGATGGGCCAGACTTGGGCTATGGTTTACTAGTCCCTGATCTAAATTAAGGGAAAGGAAGGCCCCCAGAAGGAACAGCTTGAGCCAAGGCATGGAGATGTGAGAGTGTGAGGGATTCAGAGGCCGCCAAATTGGTTCTTCTTCCTCCCTGGGCACAGGAAGAGGCTTGTGCTTTCACGCAGGCTGAGTCCATTCAATCCACAAGTATTTATTGAGCACCTACTATGTGCCAGGCACTGTTTTAGCCACTGGAGACACATCAGTGAACAAAATTACTTCTATGTCCTTAGGACCTAAAGCCCTGAGTGTTTACTAAATAAATAGATAAATGGGTGAATGGACAGATGTGTGGATGGAAGAATATATGAATGAGTGGATGATGGATGAGTGGACGAGACAAATACTAAACACACAAACATATAAGCAATTAAATACAACTTCCTCACTAGCTGTGTGACCTCAGAGAAATTACTTAACCTTTCTGGGCCTGAGGAGTTAATGTAAGCAATGTACAGGACCAGCACCTAGTGGCTGCTCTATCTACGTAGCTGCTGTTTTTAAGTCAATATGCTACCATATAAATACATAGTTAAAAAGACAACTGTTTAAGAATGACGCAGGAACAGAGCAGACGCATGGGGGAGAGAAGGGCACTGCTCTGGGTCAGGTAGTCTGGGAGGGCCTCTGAGGAGGCGGCATCAAGGCTGTCCTGCCCACATCCTGTGAGGATGTCCTAAAATTAGTAGTGTTTGCAGCCCCTATGCCCTGAGGCCTCGCTAGAGACAGTTAATTACTAATACCTGCTTCTCCGGAGTCCAGGAAGGTGTCTTCTCTAATTAGTGCATGAGTGTAAAATGCTTTGAAATCTGAGGATAAAAGGGGAGGAAGAGGTGAGGCGCTGGTCACAGGGCCCGGGCGCCCTCTGGGAACCCACCCATGATCCCCAAGGACTGCGTTCTCACTCTGGCAGGCCTGCCTGGAGCTGACCTTCTCTCAGGTGCTAAGTGGAGTTTAAGGGCAGTGGAAAATACTTGGGTGTCTAGGGGCAGGGGTGGGGGAAGAGGGAGGCAAGGGTGTTGTGCCCAGATCCAAGATGATAGTGGGCTGAGAGCCTCGGGCATAGCATGTGGCAACGCTGTGGCCCTAAATTGGTACTAAGTGTTTCCAATCTTGTTACATTAGTGCTATTATTGTTGTTACCTGCCACTTACTAACTGGGTGACCCGGATGAGTTACAGACCCTCTTGGAGCCTCAGTTTTGTCTTCTTTAAAATGGGGTGATTACAGGAGAGCAACGCTAGGTGCTGGCAGAACACACAGCAACGATAGCAGCACTGCCGGGGGAGGGGGTCCAGATGAGAACCTCAGGGCCACCAGAGACGACCAGGCACTGCCTGGCTTGAGGCACTAATCATAGATCATGGCAGCAGCAGCCCCCTGCAGTGCTGGTGTACAGAGAGGTTGAGTTATTCACTCGAGGTCACCCAGCTGGGCCTCAGCAGAACGGGGATTAGACCAGATCGCCTGGCTCCCAACCTGGAGCAGGGTCAGCCCTGGTCAAATTGGTTGTTGTTATGGAGAGTTTCTGGGAGGCAGAGAAAATCCCTTTGCCCGGCAAGGCAAGTGTCGTCAAGTCTCAATCCGCTGGCCCTTTATATCGCTCTCCCCTGAAACTGTATATTTCTAGGAATTTTGGAAGTTTTTATTGTCTTCTAATTTTACAAGTGTAATACCTTGATCTGGGGGGACAGTGTGCAGTGCGCGTACCGCAAACTGAGCTCTGTGAGTGTGCCGGGACATCGAGCCCAAGAGATGGGCATGGGGGGCTCCCTGGGCCCCTCCCCACAGGGTCACCTGTGGGGGCCTTCGCTCGACACCTGGGCTGGGAGGCAGAGGGAACAGCCTGAGGTCACGCGGAGCGGAAGGGGCAGAGCAGGCCTTCCTCCAGCCTCACTCCTCTTGTTAATCCCCATAGCTGACATCCCAACCGGTGGTCCATGAGCCAGAGGCCGCTGCAGCCTATTTGATTTGGCCTGAATGCTGTTTTCATAAAATTAGAACTTATCATGATCATTTAAAGAAAGGGATTGTTCCAGGAATAATATTCAAAATATCTCAGCAGACTGGCCTGGGCACTGACCGCTCAGAGCGGCCGCTCCAGCCTGTCAGGGCCTTGACTATTGCGAGAAAAAAATGATAAAAAATATAATAAAAGGGGCTTGAAAAAGCAAAACTATGAAAGCACTAAACACATCAGGGGTTGGGGGAAAGAGAAAGGAAAGGGGTTGTACAGAGATGTTTGGAGCAGTGACTCTTTGGTGCGATACAGTAAATATGCCTCCATGTCATGATGTATTTGTCTGAACCCACAGAACGTACAGGCCCAGGGCAAACCCTAATGCAGACCAGGGACTTTGGGTGATGATGTGTCCATGTAGGTCACTGACTGCAGCCGAGGTACCACCGCAGTGGGGGTGCCGGTAGCGGAGGAGGCAGCGTGGCAGGGGGAGCGCAGGTATATGGGAATTCTCTGTACTCGCCACTCAATTTGCTGTGATTATAAAACTCCATTAAAAAATTAATTTTTAATGAAAAATTTTAATTTTTAAATATTTAAAGCTATAGAATATAATGATATTTTTATAAAATCTATTTTTTTGAAAATCAGAAGGCCCGGTGACACGGCTTCCACATTTTCACGGGGCCACTGCTGAGCCCCGGGTGCGCCCCTAGCCTGAATGGGTGTGCCCACATCTGCCAGGCCCTGAGGCCGCCTCCCTCCGGACATCAGCTGCCCAGTTCCTGTGCGTGACTCAGGAGTGAAGAGGAGTCCTCGGAAGGTCTTGATGGGAAAGAGAATTAGGTGAAAGTGTGGCCTGTTGGAGCCAGCCGAGGAGAAGGAAGGGGCCGTGGTGAGTCCATCTGTATCAGACCGGGCTCATCTGCTGGCTGGAGCCTCCAGTGCTTTCTCCGCAGGACAGAGTGAGCCACTCCTGACTCACCAGCCTCTGCCCGGGCCTGCGATGGGCGGGGCCTCTGCGGGATGTGGTCCTGCGGGGCCAATGTCTGCACGAGACAGGAGGAACAAAGGCTGTGATGTTTGAGGGGGCAGGATGTGAAACATCAGAATCTGCCTTGCTCCCCCTAAGAAGCTGTCCCTAAAACCATGCCCTCCCTGAGAAATCAGATGGATTCTTTTGAAGTTTACTTATACAATCACTCATTCATTCAACAAACATTAATTGAGCACCAAGATATCC